CACCCCTTCAAGAAGATCTTGGCGCTTGCCTACTACGAGGCCACGGAGATGACGGAGACCATCATGGGCCCGGATGGCAACATCACCATGGACACTAAGTTGGCCGCCGATCCGGCCTACTACCACCTCTGCGAGGTTGCCAAGCAGGTCACAACAACCTGGTTCGCCCTCACGGACAACTACCACATTGTCAAGGCTCCGGTGAGCGTTCTGATGGATGGGATGAAGCCAGTCCTCCCCTACGTGCTGAAGGACTCTAAGTACTGTGGTGAGCGCCCCAACTGCAAGGCCTCTTTGGAGCAGGCGGAGGATCTGTTCAGCATCAACCTGAACTACCACCACGACAAGTATGAGGTGCTCTACAAGACCGCGGATGCCGTCGAGTTCTGCAAGGCTTGGGACACTGCTACCAGCGGCAAGAGCTGGGGCGACTGCTCTCTTACCTTCGGCCCAACTGGGGATGACTACATTGCCTGGAAGATCAGCTCCCCCACGTCCAACATCACAGACGAGTTCATCCCCAAGGATAAGACCCGCTACGGCTGGAGAGCCTGGACCAGCTTGTGGCAGCCGGCCCCCGTGGAGTCGCGCACTTGCGACACCGTGCTGTACGGCGTCAAGGAGTACCTCGAGACTCTCGACAACATCTCCGAATGCGCTGTGAACTACGTGGAGGATGCTGCCGGCTGCATGGGAGACAGCACCTGCATGTGGAGGCCCATGTTTGAGTCCGGTGTGTGCACGCTGGACTACAAGAGTGCCATTCCGCAGACGACGGTAGAGGGAGCCATTTACAGCGTCGTCGAAGTCACGATGCCGATCGTCGTGGATGATCCCACCACGATTACCGATAATGCAACCATTACCACCGCCATGCGGTCTGGCTTCGCCATCCTCATGGGTGTAGACCTGGACAAAGTTTTGCTCAAGTTCGAGCTGCAAGACAGGCGCCTCGCTGGCGAGAGGAGGCTTTCGCAAACCTTGCTGGCAATCTACGAAATCATCCTCGAGACTGTGGAAGCTGCCGAAGAGCTCCGCGTGACTGTGGAGGCAACGCCGATCGCCGAGACCCAGCGTGCCATCAAGAACACCGTTGCGGCTGCTGGCTTCTCCGGCAACTTCGAGGTGAAGGAGGTTAAGACCATGCTTGTTCCCGCTCCCTCCACGACCACCACCACCACGACCGAAGAAGATGACGACGATGAGACCACCACGACTGAGGATGACCACGACAACCATACTCACGATGATGAGACCACCACCGATCCGGATGGCGATGAGGAGCCTCCCAGCTCGGCCATTGCGGGCACTGCCTCCGCGGCGGTGCTGGGTCTTGCTGCAATGCTCCTGGCCTGAGGCCTGTGCCAAACGGCCGGTATTCTGGACTGATTTGCGCTTGCCCCTTGGTTTTCCCGACAGGGTGAATGGCCCTGCGTAGCGACTTGGAGGGTCTAAGGGCTTAGGGTTTGCATACATGGAGGGATGCCTTTTCGCTCGCTTCTATACAAGAGAACGAAAAGGATGTAAGACACCCGCTGCAATTGTCCTAGATATTGAAAGAGGTTCTTAGACCCTCCGCTTCACGGATTTCTGAGCATGCTGGCAGAGGGTTGGAGGCTCTCTTGGACTCAGAGCCTTCTGTGCAATGTAGAAGCATGAAGAATTACACATTTACTATAGACCCTGTAATGTATAACCCCTAGACACCCAAGTAAGGGCCCATAGTGAGAGTGGCAGAAAGTGAAAGTTCTAAACCCTCAGAATATGATGCTGGCATGGCACACGAGGGTGCCATACATGTAGCGCCCACACGCACCATCACACAGGCTTGGCCCTCTCCACATCAAGAAGGAGGGGCTGAGCCTAGATTTTTGTGAGTTTCCGAAATGTAGGTCTTCCATGAATAGTCTGAGTCAGCAGTATTATGGAGTCACGTAGGCTTCGGAGGCAGATAGAGATGTTTGGAAGCTCCTCACTACTTCTCATTTTGCACGTCTGCTGCGAGCTCAGGGGGATGTTCCAACATGGCAGGTTGATCTGATTGTTGCGTGTCAGTTTGTTCGGTTCGTTACGACCTAGAGCTCATAAGGACAGACCGCGTCTCACAGCCCTATAGAGTAGGAGACAAGTTGAAATCCGAGCCAGTCACCTGGGTGCTGTAGGTCCTGTGTTTTTATGGTCTAGCTTATTTGGCGGGGTACGGGGTGCTGGCTTGGGATTCTTCGCGTCTCGGTCCTCTGGGGTACCTGACCCATGACTGCGAACGTGGCGCGGAGCAGTGCTCCGAGGAAGGCCTGAGGCCTTCCTAGCGCTGGCGGAGAGAGAGAGAAACACAAACGCGCTTGATTTGAGTTTTCAAGTTGTCTAACCCCAGTGTATGAGGGTCTATGTCTGGGGGGTAAGAAGAAGGAACACATATGCGTTTGATTTTCAATTTCAAGTTGTCTGACTTTCCATGGCACGAGCGTCTATGTCTGGAGCTTTTGCCTTACCCTTTTTCCAACCACTTGGGTCGAGCTGCTTTAGGTAGGCAGAGTATCGAGGTATATTTCCATAACATGGCGTAGGGTTGCGCGGGGATCTTAGGTATATGTAGGCTCAATACCGTTTCTAGCTTTCGAGCATCCCTTGACTCCTTGACCTGAAGCCCTGCGTGGGCTGTGGCCTGGCAAGATAAATCATATATTGTAATATCTGCAGACGACTTCTTGCGGTACAAGGTGAACCACCTCGTCCTCACCATCCTGACTCTTTTGTTGATTCTGTTAATCTTGGCTGTCGTAACTTTAAATGGCGTAGCTAGGCATGAGTGTAAATGTGCTGCAATGATGATGACAAGTATGGCGGCCAGTGGTGCCATTGTGGGCATCGAGGAGCTGGAGACGGTTTTCGCCGTTGGCGGGTTGCGGCACTGGTTTTCAACCCTTCCTACTGCTCTTTCTGAAGCCACTTCTCGTATTGAGGCTTCCATCTCTCTGAGCCTGAAAGGCCGAACGCCTGAAACGTCAACTCTGCCCTTGGTAGCTTTGCTTAGGTTGGCTGGGGCCAAGACCTGTCGCTGCGGTGTCATGCACGGTCCGCTGGGGGCCTAGAAGCTCGGAGTTCTAGGGTTCTAGAGGGCTCTGGGCTAAGCGTGAAGATGGGTGAAGGGTCATAGAATGTGGGCTCAGGGTGGGTTCAGAGGTTCAGGCCTTGTTCTTTGGTCATGGGATCCTAAAGTTCACGGATTTGAAAAGTTCGTGTTCAGTTCAGGAAGCGGGGATTTAGGCTGAGGTGTTCCAATCTTGGCTGGGTTTCTTTTAGGAGCCTTTTTGACAGCGACCCTGCTGAATCCATCTGTGTCCTCACACACTCCATCAAAAGATGTAGGCTTTTGGCGCCGAGGTTCTTTTAATTTCTGAGCTAAAAAAGGTTAACATGCTCTACAAGAGTCTGAAGCGTCGCACATCAGACACGCGTGTTAGGCTTCATTGCTTGCACCCTGCATGCTTGATTGGAACAATTCAAGCCGCAGCCAGAAAAGCACGAGCAATGGCCGTTCTAGCATCAAGGGGTTAGTTAATGTTTGCAATCAGGACAGCCGCTATTCCTTATACGGCGTACGCAGAAGATCTTACGAGAACTGCACGCATCACCGTGAGTCTTTGCTCAGCTGGAGTAGCTGCAGCTGAACTAATGGCTCAAGCCGAGTTTCCACACCATACACATCCCCGCAGCCCTTCCTCGACCCTACACCTACACCTGCCCAACCGTGAAGATGAGACAGTGTGCCAAGAGAAGCGCAGCAGACGCGGAGATCAGGATGCAGTCTTCCGGTTCAGAGTTCAGCGGAGTAACCGAAGATCGCGCGTGATTCCATTGACCTATGGTTATTAATTGTAGCCCGCTCTACTGTACGCAGACCCATATCTTAAGATACCTGGAACTTGTTTCAGCACTGTATTCTATTCGCAGGGTCTCCTCAATTATGCAGAAGCCCACATGTCGTGGAAACTGTAGGAGTTCTGGGCTAAATTGCTCCTCCGCCCACCTTGGGTTGGAACCTATTCTGACCTTACATTGCTACTCCTGGTCTTGTAGCAGTCCAGAGGATTCATGAGGAGCCAGCGCTTAACTAGCAAGCAGCGCAACCGATCGCCACGAGGTCTCAGCTTTCAAGGGCGAGATTGTGGCGAAGGCGTTGCCAAATCTAGCACGCGGTCCAGATTTGTAAGGCTTCCAACGAAAATCGACTACGAACCGCATCGAACCGCATGAACCTACTGCATGCAAGCAGCCTACTGAGCTGCAGCTTTCTGATTGCTTCAGGGTTCTACGGTTTGGAGGCCAATGAACTGGATTTATGGCAAAGGGGTCGGTGGTCGAAGGCAGCAAACCTGGAGGTAATGTCACTTTGTTTGGGAAATGGTGCGAAGCGGGATGCAAGATGCTAGGCTGAGCATGTGGGCCCTGAAGCCCCAACCCGAGGTGCCGCTGCCACATTCTTACTGCTCGCAAGCATCCCAATAATTCTGAAAACCCACAATCCTAGCTGTGACGAGGACCCTGACCCTGAATTCCAAATCGAAGGCCTTACAACAGATCACAATGTCCTCAACGTTGCAACTCTTCGTGCTCTACAGATCTGCCAAGCAAGGTTTGAGAGTACCCTCGGCATGACTAGCCAAAAGCAATCTGCACGTATTCTACATACATGATAATATATGCATGTATCTACCCGCCTCGTATCAAAATTTAATGTATTACACTCGGGTTCCGGTCCAAAATTTCAGGGTATGTGTTTCGTGGAGTGGCTTTCTGGGTTTTGCGCTGTGTTCAAGTTTTTAAAGCCTGTTTCAGTTCACTCTTGCGTTGCCTAAGCTTTCATCAGGGCTGGCGTGAAATATCAGGTATGCCCTAGCCCGTCACTAAACTAAAGTTCCGCATGCAGCCTGCCCAATGATCCCAACCCCAAAGTCTGGGCACCTACATCAGCAGGCCTCTGCACATGGAAGGCCACTGGAACTTAGCAAGCCACCAAGAGTAGGGAATCCATGTGCTTGGAACAAGAATTATCACGGCTTCGGGTCTGAGAGTCCAATGATTTGGTCAGATACCGGCCGATCCGCCCTGGCATCTCAGACTTTTTGAGCCCACTCATGCGCGGGCCCTACTTCAAGGGTAAGGAGCCCCTAGTACGGGGCACAGGTGTGATATTCATGGGAACATGCAAAGACGTGGCTTCGCAAATTTCGGCCTCAGAATGTAAGCCTTCGGATTTTGTGTCTGGACTTCAGATTTTTTCTATGACGCAGACAGTCTACATAGTTTTCCCATTTTCCCGCGCTGCGCCAGAGCGTTGCCGTTGCGGCAAGGGTCCGGTAGTCTACGTTTCTTCTCAGCATGCTGAGAGATAGTACAAATTATAGGCTCGGACATTCGCCTCCAATGTGGAAGACATCCGAAAATGGGGGTTAAATTCTGGGAGAAATCCTGCCAAAACCCTGTTAAGCAGGAGGCTCTGTATCCGTATCCTTCAGCCCTTTACATGCGGCCTAACTCCCTCCAATGCAATTACTTTCTACCATCGAATGTTCGAGATTTTCTTGTGCTTTTTGTGGGTTGCGGGTCTTGTGCGATTCCTGAACCTAAATTCCAGCAAGGATCTCTTATCTGTTCCGCTCCTAACTGGACCTGCTAATGCTGCGTGTTCTCTTGAAATCAGGAAATCTGGCTCAAACCGACTAGGTGAGCTTTGCTCATTTTTGGTGGCAAGGACGGGTGGGGTTAGGGTTGGAGATTACGCAGGTTTCTACTTTCGAGTGTCCAGAGCAACATGCACGAATCGGGGCCCTGCATCCCTCGAATCCCAAAAAGCCTTGAAACCCCTCAAAAATGGAAATTTTCAACATAAATCCAAAGCACCGAAAACCCACTCTCTACATAAGCCCATAACACTGAACCCTACCCAGGTGGCTGCGCAGATGGTTTACCATCATGGAAATTTCATAGGCACGTTTTCTTGCTGGGTTCAGAGTTTAGTCAAGATGCCTCAACAAAGCAATAGTATTGCAGTCATTGATGCAGGACCCTTCTCTTGGCAAGTCCGTGTCACAAGGATGCGGTTGCATTTTGGGAAATGACTTGTGTGAACGATATCCAGATTGTATTCTCTCCAGCTTGAGAAGCTCGACACAGTACATGCAGGCCCTCAAACTATGAGCTTTTTTACACAACCATGCATGAATTTGAAGGTTTGGGATTAGGGTATGTGCGCCAGGCGGGGAGCAAACTTGAGGACCTAGTTCTTGATTCAGCCGTCTACTTTATGTGGAGTTGATCTGGGAGGCTGTCAGGCAGGTCGATAAACTAACCGC